CGGCATGACCATCCCCTCTGGGGGGTGATTTCTTGCTTTCGGTCTCTCTGTCTCTCTCTGTCTGGCGAGCACACCCACCCTATAACGAAAACCTCTCCAAAATAAAAAAGAAAAGAAAAGAAAAATGGAGAAGAGATTGCAGTATGGCCATTCCCCCAGGGGGTGATTTCTCAGTTTCTCTCTTTCTCTGGTGAATATACATACCCTATAGTGAAATTAAAAAAATAATAATAATTAATTAAAATAAAAAAGATTGACTTTGTAACACAGCAGTTAGGCATTGTACAGAGGAAACCATATCCCATGTAACTAACCAAGTCCTAGACCCTTGGCTTGAAAAATATTATGGGCACACTTGCATGTACCCTGGATCCTGATGGGGTGAAGAACTGGAGGAAAAAGGATTGCAGCATGACCACACCCCATGGGAGGGGTTCTCTCTCTCTCCCTCCCTCCCTCCCTCCCCCCTGCGCCCATCACTCATGCATGTACACGTGCCCTCTAGCATATAGAGAAAAGAGAGGCTGACTCTTCCCTCTCTCAGAAAGGGACAAGTAGCCAGTCTGTGGTGACAGCTGCTCCCTGGTTGCACAGCATCTGGAAGCCTGCAAAAGAAGCGTTGGGTGCAAGAGTGGGTAGAATTGGTTCTGCCTTACTTTTCTTATCTTAGTCATTCCCATTGGCCTTTTAAAAAAGGGTAAGAAACTTTATCAGAAAAAACAGGGACATGAGTACACATTATTGGGCATTTCTTAATCTACAGTATACCTCATGGTTGGTAGAATGTTCACAATGCAAAGGATTTACATCTCAGGGTCTGCTCCTTTCAGCAGGCGTTCTGTCCACTCCCAGTCAGAAGCAGAGTGTGGTTGTTTTTCAATTGTTTTTTCAGTTACCCCATTTTTGATGCCTGATTGTATATCTAAGGAGAGCCCCCCACTCCCAGAACTTCCTTGTGCTGTCTCAGACTTGTGCCGGGGCCAGCCAGAGTGTTTCTCAAAATCTCTTAAGTATCTGAATTATAAACAGAACTGAATGGGACCATGCGGGGGATCATCTTGTCCAATCCCCTCCTTATGCAGAAAAGGAAACCAAAGCCTGGAGAGGTTAAGTGACTTGCCCAAGGTCAGCAGGATGCCTTCTCCCCCATCAGGAAGACCCGTGGCATCTGTAACTACGTTCTCTTGACCAATTACAATCCCATCACTGGCATTGTTTTATGAGAAACAGCCCCACTGGGCCCAGTAGGCAATAAGTCTTTGGAGCTGTCTCAGCCTGCAGTTGCTTTATATAAACTATCCCTTTTATGGGAGTTGAAGCACAGTATGAAAAGGGTTTTTGTCTAATGTTGACCTTGTTTAGTCACATTAACGCACACACCAGTTCCAGGCCCCATTCCATTCTCCGAACATCTTCGGCCACTCTGATAGTGCTGAGCAGAGCAAGGTTGGGCTCACTCCTCTGGCAGAACCTCAGCACTTGGGAGGCCCTTGCTCCAGGGAACGGCAGCTTTTCCTGAGCTGGGCCCCTCTCCCCAAGCTCCTAGCACTGCCCAGCCAGAACCAGGGACGCCATTCGAGTCCAACTCCAGTGTCTATTTTCCAGAAAACAGGCAATGCTGTGAGAGCCATTGGAAGACTGTCCTCTATGGCAATGATCTCAGGGCTCAGTGGCAGGAAATCCTCAACAGGGTCACCAACCAGCCCGCTCAATGCAGAAAAACTAGAATCGGAAGGTAAGGAGCTCCCTGGGGATTTTCTCCAGCCAGTTAATGGGGCGAAAGGCTTGGGGCGGGCAGAGGGGCATTTGGGTTTTGCTTTGGTTTGGTTCTTTTCACATACCCTCCAAGGATAAATTCAGAAGTCCTTTGGATTGCTCTGATGACCGTCACTAAGTATTGTAATCATTGTCTGTTTAACCACAGGTGTAACTAGTTTCCAGGGGAAAGTTGTTATTTGTCTGATAGAACTAGATGACCTCCGCTATTCTTTCTCCTATGTTTTATAAAAGGATTTTAAAAGGCTTTCTCTAAAGCTTCCTTTTTTTATTATAAAAGTAGTATTTATGCATTGATAGGCAAAAATAAAATTAAAATCATATGTAGTTGTGAAACTTCTTTTAGTATCGATTTTCTACTGTCTGTGTTTTTGTTTTAAATGAAAATGTGCTCGTCGAGTGCATATTCTGACATGATCTGTGCTGCTGAGATAGGTCATTTGAACTAGGCAGACCAGAATTGGCAGGCCCCTCCTGAAGATGAAGAGGACTCCTTTCTTGCCCACCATCTTTGAGATGCTGCCCTATCCATGCTGGTGGAGGCCTCAGTCTCTTCCTGCTTTAGGTGCATGCAGGCCTGGCCTTTATGTTCTTGAGGTGCCTCGTGTGACCAGAGACACCCCTCCATGCCCACTCTCTGTGCTTCTGGTGTCCACTGGCAGGAAGCTGAGTCCAGAGCCCTCTGTGCACAGAGGCAGGATAATGGGCAAGGCCAGCAGCTGGCTGCTCTGGGCTTCCTTGCAGCCCCGGGGACAGAGTCTGCAGCACGTGGCCTGGTCTCTCCTGAGCCGCTCCTGCCAGAGGGCTGAGAAATAGCCCGAAGGGCAGGCAGAAGACAAGGGAGCCCCCTCCCAGTCGTGGCTTTTCCCTGGGCCAGTCCCCCATCTTGGCCCACAATCAGGACATGGAGGCAGTGTCTGTGTGGAGAAGAGAACTTCTGGCGAGTTGAAGATGCCTCTAGACCTGGCTCCTCCTTCTAAGGAGCAGGTGAATGACCTGCTGCAGGAGGAGGGCAAAGGGGAAAAATGAGATCAGAAAGGCTGGTGAGGCTCTGTCTTCCAGGTACCCTCAACTACATCCTGAAACAGCATGAAATGCAGCCAAAAATCCTTTTTAAAGATGATTTCGTTTTTCAATGTGTCAGCATAAGGGAAGGGGGGAGCTGAACAGTTCCCCAGTTTGGGCACAGTTCTTTTCTGCCAACTACCACATGGCAGCAGGCCAGTCTGTCCCCGGGAGAAAGGCGTCCTCATGATTCAGTTCTCGAAGCTGCATTATTTGCAACTCTTGGGGGGTGGGGGGTGGATCAATTGTTTTAAACTAGGGGCGAGGCAGAAATGACCTGGTCCTCTTTCCTGTCTTCTAGAAGATGTCTCCCAAGCTTTCCTCGAGGCTGTGGCTGAGGAAAAGCCTCACGTAAAGCCCTACTTCTCTAAGACCATTCGTGATTTAGAAGTTGTGGAGGGGAGTGCTGCTAGATTTGACTGCAAGATTGAAGGTAAGCTATGGGTCTCTTCTCACACAGATGGGGTATGGCTGCTCAAGATGTCTGTTCTGTAGAACCTGGAGCAATTTCAGGAAGAGCCAAGCCTGGAAGGAAACTGGGTCAGAAGGAGTTGGGTCTATAAGGCCACTCCCTCTACACCACCCCCTGCCCTTCAGTGACTCACCCAGGGTCACATTTGCTGTTTCACCCACTTACGCCAGGCCCTAGACCTAAGGTTACCATGCGCCTGCTGTGGCTGTGGAGCAAGCTTAATGTGAGCTCCGCAAGCTGCTGAGAAGCGTGTGAACCACCCACAGCGGGCTCTAAAGGAAAGCTGGCACAAAGGGCACAGGACGTGCAGTGGGGGACTCTGCTCTTGCTAGCAGACACTGTAACCTGGGCTGGCGAGCTAACTCTGAGGTCAGGTCCTTTATCTGTAAGCTTGTATCTACCTCACTCAGTGCATCTGGGGATTCTGCAAGGCAATATCCAAAACAATTGATGTAGTTCAGCAGGTGGCATGACAGTTAAGGTGGCTGGATCTCACATGGTTCAAGTCCTGGACCTGGCAACTTGAAAAACATGCCAGGCATGTGTGCACGCAATGCCCAAAATCTCAAAAGGGGAGTAGAGAAGAAGAGATTATGGTGAACATCCTCTCTGAGGGTTCATGAAAAATGCATATGAGAGAAAAAGAGCTGTGCATGGTTTTCAAATTTTTTGCCACAAGATAAGCTCCATAAGTCAACTCAATTTTTGCATGAGCTTTTGGAAGTACCCTTGAATGTGAAAAAAAGAAATATTTTAGGTCTTTTAGAGACGTGGTGGAGTCAAGGAGAAAGTTGTGATTTTACGTGCAGAGACAGAACATGCAGTGTGACTTTAAACTGAGCATAGGCGGGATCCAGCACCTGGGGAAACCCACTGAGGCCATCTTACCCATGCTGCCTCTCTGCCTGCTGAGAACAACTGTAGCCATAGAACTGTGAGTGCTTAGAGCCCGGAGACGTCAGGGATCCGAGCGTGGTACCTGAGAAGGCGTCAAGTAGATGACACAGGAAGTTTCAGTGTCTACAGCAATCTTAGGAAGATGGGGACAAGATCAGACAGACCACCTTGCCTCAGGCTGGAGACTGACACGGGTCAGCCAGGGCTATCTTCATTTTGCTCTGACAGGATACAGTTAGGGAAGTTCAGGGAGCAGTTCTCCCAAGACCGCACAGCACAGCGCGGTGGTCAGAACAAACCAGGCCTCTCGCTTGCAAGTCCCAGCCATGTGACTACACAGTGAACACCTGCTGAGTAAAACAACCCAAAGTTAGGAATGAAAAAAAATCCATTTCTTCCTACCTCCTTATATTATCAACATGTCATGTAAATGCTTCGTCTATCATACTCTTTCTCTTTTTTCATCCAATTAAAAAGAAAAAGTGGTTGTGCTTCCTTTAATTATGGGAATGCTCTCAGATTGGGGCTCTACAGCAAGCCCGGGGACAACTGCTTGGAACGCACCATCACCATCATCTTTGGGTCTTCTCACGTTCTTTCCTTTTTCTGTATTCTTTTTTTTTTGGAGAGATTTTCACTGTAGGGCGCATGCGCTCGCCAGACAGACAGAGAGAGACATAGAGACAGAAAGCGAGAAATCACCCCCCAGGGGGGATGGTCACGCCGCAATCCTTTCTCCTCCATTCTCCTCTCGGGATCTTGGGCATGCACACACACATGCCCGGCGTGAGTTTTAAGCCACCGGGTCCGGGACACGAACCGCAGTTGACTACATGGGAGTCCAGCGACATAGCCATTACGCTAACTGCTGGTTCCTTGTATTAATTCTTTAAAAATTATTATAACGTAGTGGTTATCATCTTTGTACTTACTTTTCCCTTTGGAATTATTTCCTTGGTATATGTATAACTTCTGACTGGTGCTCTAATGAGAAATGAAAGCATATGAATGATGTTTTGATAGAAACAAAATTGTACTTGAAAAGAAAGCTAAAATGTCTTATCATATCATTTTTATTCTGGATGGAGCTACAATTTTTTCCCCATAAAAATAGCTTCCACAAAATTTAAGAGCAAGTGAGATGGAATATATTCTATATTTTAAAGGTATAGATGCACGTGTATGTATATGCATGTAAATACACATACAGGCAATGCCACTCACACACATGTACTATAATGTTAGGTGAGGTCATCGATACGGTCATGATGGGTTTTTGCATAGGAAAATACATCATGACTTTTCTGACAACTCAATATTGAAAGATGAGATTAAAGGATAGTTTTGGGGGTTTTTTGGTGCAAAAATATCTTGAAATCCATGTATCCACATTAGTTTCCCATAATACACATATTTCATGAACTTTTTTCTTCAAATATTTTACTGTAACAGCATGCGCTTAAACAATGATGTTACTTATTTACACTTTATAAAATCATGCCTATTCGACATAGTTTCTCAACCTGAAACTAACTACCAAATTATTTAACCATCAGTGCTAATGCATGAGTCTCTATATCTTAAATATAAATCAAAATAGTTCAATACCAAATAGGTATTTAAGTGGATATTTCATTTAAAATGAAATCAGAGACAATCAGATGCAGGTATAGGATTATGAGTCAATATTTCAATTAGTTAAAATTTTCGGGTTTTTTTTTTTCAATATTTCTATTTAGTTTTTCTTCTTCATCTATAACAATCTGTTTTAAGCTCAGAGTAGCATCTTGAAATCTAGGATTTAAGTCTAATACCTTCTTGAGATCTCCCAACGCATCATCAACCATCCCAGCTTATACGGCATCAGTCCCCTGTTGTAATATGGAACCTCAAAACTGGCTTGGACATCTATGGCCGATGTGCAGTCATCCATGCTTCCCAAGCTTCCACCCTGAAGTGCCGATTAGCCCCCGTCAGATGCAGTAGCCAAATCCTCGGGGCTGCATCTGCTCGCTGACGGAGGCGCCGAGGGACACTGGCGCGTGGAAATGGAGTACAGCCCTCAGCCTCAGCGTACTCGCCCTTCTCTAAATGAGCCTGGGCAAGCGCTGGGGGGCACAGCTTTCTAGCACCTGCTGCCTTTCCACAGTGGATGAAAACCTAGCTTTTGGTGTGAAATGGGGGTTGATCTCTGTGTGATTAGAGGTGGCACCAGAAAGCCACTTTTGCACTCTATAATTTGACCATCAGAACCTCTTTTTCATGAACTTCTTGAAGACCCTCTCTCATATATATAAACCTTAAAGTTTCTGATACGTGTGTATTACATGTGTGCATGTTTTATAGTTTTTAAGTGCTGAACTTTGCAGAAACATGACTACTGCATAAAGCAAGGCTAATCAATGAGGCCCGTTACTTACATGTAAGCAGACTACCTGCTTTGGTGCAGACTAAGCAAATATTGCTTTCTTTTTCTTAGCAATGTTATCAATTCCTCTAATTTATGGTTTTTGTTGTTTGTTTGTTTTTGAGAGGTTTTTGTTATAGGGTACGTGCACTCGCCAGAAAGAGAGACAGACAGAGAGACAGAAAGTGAGAAACCATAATCCCTTCTCCTCCATTCTCCTCTCGGGATCTTGGGCACGCACGCACATGCGCTTGGCGTGAGTTTAAGCCACCGGGTTCGGGACTCAAACCGCGGTCGACTACATGGGAGTCCAGTGACATAGCCATTACGCCAACTGCTGGTCCCTCCTCTAATTTATGTTTAGTAATAGCTACTATTGGCTCTGTTGTTGTAATTTATAATTTATATATAAATTTATATATAATTTATATACATCATAAAATTCACTGTTTTAAGTTTATGATTCAATTATTTTTAGTAAATTTATAGTCATGCAATTATCACCACAGTCCAGTTTTAGAACATTTCTCTTACTTCAAAAAGATCCCTCAGGCCCATTGTTCTAACTTATTTTTAATTTAAATGAATATACTTAAGTAAAACATTTACACAAGATCAAATATTTTACCTTTATCCAAGAAGACGCTGAGCTCTAGGTGTGCGGCTGGGCAGCACCGCAGGCAGCACTCCCTGACCGAAGGTGGATGTGGTGCAAGTCCAGCCACAGCGAGGAATGGGAAACCAAAATGCCCTATTTGGGGGCCAGCAGGTGGTCCTAGTTATAGTTCCAGACCCAGCGGCTTGAAAATCACACAGAGTGCGTGTGTGTGTCCAAAATCCCAGGAGGAGAAGGAAGGAAAAGGGACTGTGGTTTGGCCATCCCCCCTCAGTGGTGATTTCTCACTTCCCCTCTTACTGACCAGCACTTAGTATATGACTATGTTGCTGAACTCCCATGTAGTCGACTGTGGTTCAAGTCCTGGACCCGGCGGCTTAAACTCAAGCCAGGTGCGTGTGCGTGCGTGCCCAGGATCCTGAGAGGAGAATGGAGGAGAAGGGATTGTGGCGTGGCCATCCCCCCTGGGGGGTGATTTCTCACTTTCTGTCTCTCTGTCTCTTTCTGTCTTTCTGGCGAGCGCATGCACCCTGTAGCAAAAAGCTCTCCAAAAAAAATAAATAAAGTTAAAAAATAAAATACCTTATTTGAAGTTTCAGACATCTGTATTGACAATACATGTCCATATTCTAATGTAGACATCAAAATAGATGCCAAAGCCAGCAGCAGTTTTGTCCTTGACCCCCTCAATCAGTGGAGGCAGCCTTGGATGGGGTTGCTCCAGGAGTTAATAAGAAATTCCGAATAACAGTTTCTGCGACTTGTGTTCTCTCCCTGTGATCCAGGATACCCAGACCCCGAGGTGGTCTGGTTCAAAGACGACCAGTCCATCAGGGAATCCCGCCACTTCCAGATAGACTACGATGAGGATGGGAACTGCTCTTTAATTATCAGCGATGTTTGCGGGGATGACGATGCCAAGTACACGTGCAAGGCTGTCAACAGTCTGGGAGAAGCCACCTGCACCGCAGAGCTCATTGTGGAAACCATGGAGGAAGGGGAAGGGGAAGGGGAAGAGGAAGAAGAGGAAGAGTGAAGCACAGCCAGAAAGAAACAGTGTCCAAGTTGTATTTAAAGGACTATTTCTCTAAAGCTCCAAAACTCAAGATAGTAAAAGCACCTAGCGTAATAGGTTATGTAGTAGGCCATTTGGGGGTTGGTTCTTCAGCTGTAGCAGTTGATACCTACCAGCATTATTGATGGGCATTAATTTGAACGAGCTGGCACTTAAGATACCAGTGTAGTTCATTCGAGGAAATCCAACTTGCCTGACCAATTGATATTACAAAGAAAGTAACCAAAAGAAATGTTAATCTAAGCAAAGTCACAAACTCCCCCACTGAATGCACTCGTGAAAAACTAGGCCAAAACAAGTGCTCTAGGCCCTGCAGTCACAGCTCAGCCCAGAGGGTCCCTGGAGGTGCACAGCCTCTCACTCTGAGCCCCTGATTCCAGAGAACTGGGTTCCCTCCAGAACTCCAGCACTTCATCCTGAAAGCAGTTGAGCCATTCTGCCTTATAAGGCCTACGTTACCCCCAAGTCTACTGCAGGGGTTTGCGCTTGCCTTCCCCTCCCCCATTCTACTTGCTAGTCTTTTTGGATCTGAACCTGTCATGAGTTCGATTATAAAAACAGGCCCCCTGCTCGTGGATGACTGGCTTCTCCAGGAAAAGAAAATCTCCTTTCTTCCAAAATCAGTAGGAAATGTTTAATTATCCCCTGTCTGCAAATGTCTAGAAGCTTCAGACATTTGGGTAAGAATCCATGGGGGTAAAAAAAAAAATCCTTGCTAATGTGCTTTTCTTCTTAAACCAGGATTTATATTTGTGCTATTATAGAATATCAGTTCTGCATGTGTGGTAGATTTTTGTGTTTCAATGTAGGAAAAACCAGTTTGCTGAAAGGTTAGTCTTAATTATTTATTGGCCACTATGAAACAGATTTCTGCTGATGAAGAGCTACAGAACTCCATGTACTCTGGAATCTCCTTCAAGGCAGTCTGAGTTTGATACATCTTCATTCTCAATACTCTTCAAAGAACTTGACCGACCTTATGGGTTCCACAGTGTTTTTCTTCTCGAATGTGCATCAGTCATGCCTTGCCCTCAACCCTGAAATATATTCTTAGACCTGATAAATGCACTCAGACTTGCATCTTTAGGATTTTTTTAACTTTCTTTCACTACATTGGCACTTAAATTTTTTTCTTTATAAAACTTTTTGAAGGTCATAACCAAAGACCATAAACTGATATATCTAATACCTTTCTTCTCTCCCTCTCTCTCTCTCTCTCTGTGTGTGTGTGTGTGCATATAACATTCCAAATGCTTTCTTTTTCTTTTCCACTGTTTGTAAAGTGCAGCAATTTAATATTTCAAGGGACTTTTTAGCAGTTCCTTAAGAACCAATTTTAAATTACTTCAGTGCAATCCTACACGGTATCAACATTAGAATTTTGATATTAGTCTTACGTTATCTTCCTTTCTATTTTGATCTGCTTTTTGCTGCTAGTTTCAAATTGCCAGTACTTTTCCTTTTTGCTTTTTAAACAGTTACAATATTTTTCATAATAGCCACAGTATTGCCACAATTTATTATAATAAAGGGTTTTTAATTTGATTTAGAGCATTCAAAGCTTTTTTATCACTTTTAAATGAATTTAAAATATAATCTTTGTGTGCATGTCTGTTGTGTGTGTGTGTGTGTGCATGTGTGCTGTATTTGTGTTACAAGTGAATACCTTCCTGAAATTGTGTTATTGTTCTCTGCGTTTATTATGCCATCAGAATGGTCAACGAGAACACTACGACTGTAGTTAGCTCACAGTTTTTAAATAAAGGATACCACAGTGCATGCTGTTTGTTTCATCTTTGCCGACTTCTCTTTCCTTTCATGCCACCAGTTGTAGAGTACCAGCTACATCTCGGAGACTAAAGAACCACCGTGCTGCATAACTGTGAAGGATCGGCTTATACGGTTGTGCTTACTAAGGAACAGAAAGATGTAGGTAGTCTTCCTTTATTCAGCCAGTCTTGTTTACACATTTAGTTCAGAATTTCTCTTGAGTATCAGTTTGGTACTGTTACATTCTAGATGAATAGCTTTTTTTAAATATATATAGTATTAGGTCCTCTTAGTCCTAAAATCTACATGGCATTTTTTCCATGTGACAAAATCAACATCATCATCAATCTTATTTGCAGCTCTTGCTTTGAAGTGGTGCAGTTTGTTACTGGCAGCCAAATGCTTTTTCCATTTCATGATATTGAAACATTTGTTATCAGGAAACTGTCACTCCTACTTGTTAAGCCTGTTACCAGATATCAGATGGTGAGTCCCCCATGTCTTGAGATGTTCAAGCAATATTGTAGATGTTCTAGAAAGAACTCAAGACATGCTGTTCAGTGTTGGACTAGATGATCCTGTGATTCTGTGGTGTAGTCTGGAAAGAAACTATCCATTGTCCAGTTAATGTTTTATTCATTTTTTAAAAGGTAGTCACAGTCTACAAATGTTCCTAGCGAGGGATTAATTATTTTTAAAGAAAAAGACTATTTTTATTCTATGGTAGTGAAAATGTAGGATCAGGAGTTAGTGGCGTAGCAGTAAAACATAACACTCTGCAAGGCAGTTCCACATGGGAAGGTTCCTGGTTCAAGTCTAGGGACCTCATTAAGTACACTGGGCACAATTGTGCCCATGACTGGCAGAGGCTGAAGCTGAAGGTGGATTGTGGCATCGAGACCCTAGTGAGGGGTGCTGTCTTTCTGTCTCTCTTGCTCATGGAAGAGATAAATTAACCCTTTAAAAATGTACAGTATAAATTCTGCATCAGGAAAAAGAACAAATATACTTTCTTCCATTTTTTTTCAACTCAAACATAAAAAATAATCCATTGATATGTATATATATATATTTTTTTTTTTTTTTCAATTGCATGCCCAAAATCCCAAGAAGAGAAGGGATTGCAACATGGCCATCCCTCTGTGGGGGTGATTTCTCACTTTCCTTCTCTCTGTCTCTCTTCAGAAACCACATGCACCCTATGGCAAAAACCTAAAAGAGAAAAAGGCATTTCTATTTGTAGCTAGAAAGACCCTGAGTCTTGTCAGCTCTGAATTTATTTATATCAAGACTGCCTTTCTCCTTATCGCAAGGTTTGCTATTTGCTTTTCCTTCCCATCTCACGTGCTTGTGATAAATTAGTGCTAATGAGTATGAAGAAGGTAGTGGCTAAAGGAATTAGAAAGAGAGTCAATTTTCCACTTTGAAAGGGAGCACAAGCAGTACTGCTTTCTTTATCCCTTGGGAACACCTTCTCTGTATTTTGAAAGGGTTGGGGGAGGCTTATGTCTGTGGCAGTCTCTGCTGAGGCCATCTGCCCCTAGCGCAGAGGACTTAGTCCTGGCCCCACAGTGAGGTGGGACCATGTGAGCAGTGAGCGGAAGTGATGTGTGTTTCCTCTGGGCCAGGGCATTCAGTGCTGGTACAACATTCTTTATATGACTGGCAACACGTGAGATGGTGGCTCTTCAATCCACGTGGGTCTCCAGCCAACCCAAAATGGGCACACATGTACGCAAGAAGTAAGCCTTGTTTTCTTTTCTCTCTCTCCTTTTAATTTCTAGCAAGCATGTGTACTCACCAGAGACAGAGATAAATAGGGAAATGAGAAAGCACCCCCTCTCGGGGATGGTCACACCACAACACCTTCTCCTCTCTTTCTCCCTCCTTTGGGGGTTTGGGGCATGCACGCACACACAGCTGGGCATGTTTTTCAAGCCGCCAGGTACAGGACTTGAACCATGTAGTTGGTCATGTGAGATCCAGCCACCTTAGTCACTGGTTTAACCACTGCCTCCAGCTGACCCAGCTTTGTTCTCATAAACCACCAAATGTGACGGTCGGCGGTGGCTGCAGCGCAACCTAGACCATCCTGATGCAAGAGCATCCCTGGGTTGTGGCCCGTGCTAAGCGATACGGCCATCGGTAGTCGCAAGTGGCTATTTAAATTGAAATGGATTAAAATAAAGGAACACTCAGTTCCCCATTACACGAGCCACGTTTCATGTGCTCAGCAGCCACCCATGATTAGTGGTTACTGTCCTAGACAGCACCAGTTAGAACTTTCCGTAAAGCTCTATAAGCAAGAGGTAGAACAGGTGGAAAAGGGAAACTCCAGATTTGACCTTGACTATGAACACCATCTTCCAAACTATCATGCAAGTAAAACTTAAAAGCCCAAGTGAAATCAGTCTGGAGAGCTGGACTTACCGTTTCAATTGTATGGGTAATGTAGACTCCACTCAGGTTCTGCTCTTAGTTCGTTATTTCTATTCATACTTTTTCACTTAAGACATTCTGAAAGTAGCAATTCTGTGCTCCTAACCCCGCAATCTAAATAGAGCCATAGCTCACAGCAGCTACCCTGTGAGGTGAGATACCATCAAGGCCAGACTTCTCCACTGTCTCTTGAACTTGGTGCTCCTTGAGACAGGGGAGCATTCGGTGGGACACACGAGTTGGATGCAGAGAAAGAGCAAGACAGGGCTGCCAGGGCCGGAGTTCCTCAAGAGTGGGCTGGAAGGAAGGTGAGGGAGGCATCCCGGCAGCTACAATCATCCTCCCCTCAGCTAGCTTTGAATACAACTCCCTTCTCAGTAGGAACTGGAAACCACCAGGAATGCTTGAGGACAGCACTAGATTTCCAACTGCGGCTTGTTTGACATTGTAGCCTTTGGCGCTTGCCTGTATTCTAAGTGCTTGCACACTGCAGGAAGGGCCTCCTGCCAGGGACTACAAGCCCCAAGAGTCTCTACTTGAGGCCTGTGATAAATTTTCACAAGACATTATTTAACTCTTGGAAGAAGGAGGTAACAGACTGACCTAAACAAATGCCGTCACCCACATTTATTAACATCGTTTAGGCTGCCATCAGTATCCTCCAATAATTATGAGATAGATTGAGCTATAGGGCGCTCAAGGACCTTGCCCCAGATGGCACATTACAGTGAAAGGTGTTCTCAGACCAAATTATCCAACGTTTCTTAGCAGGTAGTCACATGACCAATTCGGCAAGCTCCGTGAAATCCCAGATCTGTCTTCGCTAGGCTTCTTAATACTCACAGAAGACAAAGGCCATAGTACGCTTGGGGACCGTCTGGCTGACTTGGGAAACAGCCAACACGGGTCAGTCCTACTTGAAACAATCCTTGGAACTGACTTGTCCAACTTAACTACAATTTTCACTGTAGTGTTCCTCTGCAAAATAGATGATCTCTTACCTCCACCCCTTACTGTGACTGGATAGCTGGTGGCTCAGTTCTGCCATTGATATAAGGGAAGTGATCATAGGTCCTCATTCATAGAATGACATAAAGTTTAATGAGCTCTTGCACAGTATCTGACCCTGGTAAGTTCCTACTATGACACTGAGACGCTAAGGTGTGTCAGAAACAGACTCTTCCAGGGATCAGCTGTTGGTATAACGGCTATGTCACTGGACTCCATGTAGTCAATGAGGTTCGAGTCCCGGACCCGGTGGCTTAAACTCATGCTGTGCATGTGTGTGTGCGTGCCCAAGATCCCAAGAGGAGAATGAAGGAGAAGGGATTGTGGCGTGGCCATCCCCCCTGGGGGGTGATTTCTCACTTTCTATCTCTCTATGTTTCTCTGTCTTTCTAGCAAGCACACACACCCTCTAGCAAAAACCTCTCCAAAAAAGCAAAAAACAGTCTCTACCCTCCAGAAACTTACTGCTTCTGCAGAAATAGTTTTATGGAACCTTCTAATGAAAAAGGGAAAGAATGACTTAACTTCTGTCTACCCCCCAAAAGAAGGACCTTTCGATGCTGAAAGTGTCCATGCAATTGCACACAAAGTAACTGCTGTGAGTTTGAGAATGCTAAAACTACCCTCTTATTCTTCTCTCTTCTCCCCCATTTCACCACTGTCTTCTGTTCTAAGGAAAAGTTTTTCCTCCCAGAGCCTAAATATTCCCTCCTTCCTAATCAAAGGAGAAAAGCTCATTTGAGTCTTATTTTTCAAATCAAAAGGAAATCTTCCAAGCTAGCTTGACTTTAAATTAATCGCACTTAACCTTTATCCCCAAAAGTTTCCTACGTTTTAATTGGTATTTACAAAAGTTAATTCACATTGACTTGTTTCTGACTGCATATTAACCAAAGAACAAATACGGCTCTGACAGGGAGTCCTGGGAAAAGGCCAAGTAGATTACTTTTTCAAAATGTCTAGGAACTTAAAACTAAGGCTCCCATTTTGGGGGGAAGTAGGAGATCTAGAGTTTATGAAATAGGCCGCTACGTGTTTGAGAGAAGGCCAGGCATGACTGCTGAAGACAAGCACTAATTTTGCACTCCTTAGAACTTACATTAGGCTGGTAGTAAAGGAATTTTTAAAAAATCAAAGCTATAAACCTTCAAATATGGCGATAACAGATGGAAAATGTCAGAATTTTGGACGATGGAAAGCTGGGGCGCTGACTTAGAGCAGAGAAGCTGAAATAACTTCCTAGGACTGCGCGTCAGTTTGCCCTGAATTCTCAAAAACTAGAGACTGGAGGGGAAGCAGCAGTTGACATAATGGCTATGTCGCTGGACTCCCATGTAGTTGACGTCAGTTCGAGTCCCAGACCCAGTGGCTTAAACTCACGCCAGGCGCGTGTGCATGCGTGCCCAAGATTTCAAGAGGAGAATGGAGGAGAAGGGATTGCAGCGTGGCCATACCCCTGGGGGGGGGGGATTTCTCACTTTCTGTCTCTCTGGCGAGTGCACTCACCCTATAGCAAAAAACTGAAAAATAAAAAAGCTAGAGACTGGCGGAACCAGGCATCG